CTTTGAAACAGAGATGAGCACCACCCCCTAGAGTTGGGAACGACTAGCACATATGTGCGAGAGAAACCTTTACCTTTACCTAAGTTGGCAGATAGCCCTTTTCATATCTCCACTTTAATCTGGATCTGACATAGCATTAAGTTTTTTATACTTCCTTTTGCCTTTTAAGATTTGTACTTCAATCACATCCACACATCCTGTTCAACAGAAAGCATATAAGACAATGCAAAGTCAAAGCCAAAGCAAAATGTGGTTTCTGCCCAGGCATGCCAGAATATGTAACTTTGCATTAGTTACAATGCAGCTTTGCATATTCCTAGAAATATGTCCAGACTTATAATTGATTTCCCCTTGCCGGACATGCTTTGATCATGCTCAGAATACTTGCACTGGGCATGTCCAAACAGAAGTCTTTCTACTCCCACCCCCTTCTGCTACAATTTGTACTGGACAGAAATTGCTTTTATGGTTTTCAAGCAAAAAACAAACCCTACTCCATTTTCTTGCATACAGAGAACTTTAACTGACACCATCACATGTAACATTTCCATGGATTATGATATTAAACTATATTTTAATAGTGCTACATATTCTTTTCCAGTTCATTTTTTCCAGTTCTCCTTTTTTATTTCTTGTTAATTTCCTCACCTCATCTAGGAGCACTCATTTTTTAGAAGGGATTTATGGAGAGACTTGTTAACATAGCAATAACCACATCTTTCACTCTGCTACTGGCTGTCAACACCTGTCCTGAACTGGTGCTTGGTGATTCAAACTCAGATGCCATTCAACACAGAATAATCTCTACAAAAACATAGGTGGGATTTTGCCATTTTCCAGAGAGGTAAAAATCTTTTGGTACTCCTCATTAGGGATGGAGCCATAAAACCCAAGACCTTTATTGCCTTCAGGTCTTAATTCTATATTTTAAGGTAAGTAGGGAGCATTTCTAGAATAAACTACATTTTTTTCCCACAGGGCATTGAGTTTGCTCCAGAAATAAGTACAGAATGTTATGTGGCCTTGTTCAGTGAGAACTAAATTGCATCAAGTTCCATACCATACTAAAAGCAGTGACTGGTAACAATGGTGGAATGATCAAGAATAAATACAATGAACTGAAATAGAATCCTGATTTTTAAAATGTATGGGATGGGAGTGGGTAATTTCCAAGGTCTGGAGTTTGTTCTCGATGGGATTGTGAACCCGCAGAAAGAAGACATGTCTATTCTGAGAATTCCTAGATATATTGCTGTTATTAGTCTTTGTGGCCAATAATGTTTATTACCAGCTTTGGTATCTTCTTCTTTTGCATTTGTTTCCTTTTCACCTCCATCTTATTATGTTTCTTTTATAATTATTTTAATTTATTGATCTTTATTGCATAGCTTATGTTCTGTAATCTGCAAAATACCTTTGTAGCAGGCTTACTCCAGAAACAAACTTCACTGCAAAATATCTTACAAATATATTATTCTTGCTAAATTTTAAAAGAATATTTCATTACCATCTCATTTTGCCCACTTTCACCAATGATTCAGAAATACATTCTGAATGCACTATGCCTTAACTTCCAGATGAGTCATAACTGACTGAAGATGTATTTGAACACTGGATATAATGATCACTGTGAAGAATGAAGGACCTGTGAGTAGATCAGTTCTTTGGAATCTCTGGGAAAGAGGGAGAATGGAAGCCCACCCAGGAATGCTGTGAATGTAAGTTAAGGGATCATAAAACAGGACCAGCTTGAGTTTAAGTGCCAAGGGCTTAAACGTCTCTCAGCAGTGGCAGTACTTTAATATGGACACTAAGCAGCTAAAGTCACTTTCTAATCACATTTTTAAAATGTTCAATTTAACAACTTTGTGGATATTAGAGACTATTCAAATGACAAGCTTGAATTTTCCTTTCTTCTTTGAATTTGAGAAATTTTCAATGGACACTTAAGAATTTAAAACAATATGCAATGGGCAAAAAAGCCCAAAAATATGGTTTATAAAACTTTTAAATGGATTAAGAGATTAAAGAAATTTGGAATATTGATTATCTGACATTTTTGATTTGATTTGATTTTAAAATGAAGTATATAATCAAGAAATATACCTGCGGAAAATGACTGAAACAAAACTAAACCCAATTTAGGAAACAAGGCTTGATGAAAGTCTCAAAGACAAATCAAGAAAAGGATCTAAACATAGGAAACCTTGATTATGCCTCCTTATGGGATTTACAGTTTTGGCTGGTGAAAGCTTTCACATCTCCTCTTGAATGCCAAAGATTGATGAAAAATCAAGTCGTGTGGTGACCTTGAAATAAGTTAAAGGTCATGATTGTGAAGAACTGGAAGAAGGGATGTCAAATTGATCAGGGTTAAACTATTTGTATGATATTTCTGATAACTTCTCGTGAACATTTAGCTGTTTGCACCAGGACTGAAAATCCAATCTGTGCATTGCACATAATGAAAGTTAGGAAGTTTTTTTAAAAAATTTGTAATTTTAAAAAAGAGTGTGGAATAGTATTCAATATGATGAAGTTGGAAGCCACTTATTTATTATTCTTTCTTTTCTTTGCTCTTCTAATTTTTTCTCCTTTTTTCTTTTCTCTGTACTTTCTAAACTTTTAACTTTTTCTTCTAATTTAATTTGCATTAATTTTACTGTATTTACTAAAACCCTCAATAATTATTAATAAAAAAAACTGAATGTACCAACCCTTGTTTCAGATGCCTTCTTCATGTAAAGATTCTAACAATCTTTTTGAAATCATCCCAATGAACCATCCCAATGAAATTCATTGGAAGCTTCCAATTAATGGCAGCATTTTGATGGGTGCAATAAACCTATTTTTCTTTTTCTAAAATATTTCAAGCCACACTAAATAAAAGGAGCTGCCTTCATCCATTCTAATCACTACACTGCCCCTCTGCCATATTCTCTGAGGCTTCCAGACCCTAAAAACAGATTTTAAAAAGTGGAATCCCAGTTGCAAAAGTGACTAATACAGAACATGGATCTGACTGCTCTTTGCCCAATTTGTGCCATCCATCCCTGTCCTAGCCTTGGAATTTGAATGGCCAGTCTTTTTTGCAAATCTGAGTGCCACACCAGATTGCACTAAAGATGACAGTCCCTATTGATGGTAGGCCTAAAAACCAGAGATTATGGTGTCATGCAACACCAGGCAATATATGAGTCATTCAGCCCCTTTGAAAGCCTCTCACATCTGGCTGGCAGTGAATGGGGGCACTGTGAAACCATTTTCTCTTGTCGTACCTGGTTCCTCGTGTTTCAATTACAAGTTTTCAATGAAGGAGTTAGGGGAGTCTGGGGAATTATGGCTATAGTTCACACAAGCTGTTAAACAAAGGCAGCCCTGTTCCTCATTAGGCTCCTGCACTTAATTAGGAAGTGGGCTTGTTGATGGCTAGCTGCTTTGAAAGAATCAGTCGTTTGCAGCAGAACAGTTTAGCAGTGAGTTTATTTCAGTGAAATCTTACCCAATGGCCAGCAGAGAGATGTCTTTGTATTACCTAATTCCTTATAGTCATTGGCTTGACAAGTAAAGATGAGGAAGAGCTTAGACTGTTTTCTTTTACAGTCAGAACTGACAAGGGAGCTGCATTAGAAAGGGAAACATATCACTGCATCAGATGGTTAATTGTTTTAGGAACACTACATTGCAGCATAAATGCTTCCAGATATCACCATGGTGCCAATTTCATTACTTTTGGCTTAGCGTTCAAGGTCAAATCACTTATATGTCTGAGAGTTTATCACATTATGTTTGGAAAGTGTTGATTTTACTGGTTTCTAAGATAAAGTAATGTTTTCAGTCCAGATAGACTGAAGAATGTCTCTTTTGGAAGAATGATTATCAGCAAGACTGAGAATGGGATGGAATAGGATCAGTTTATGCTAAAAGATGTTTCCCTACAGAGAAAATCCTTCTTGTAATTACATTCCTCTCAAAATGCTTTTTAAAACCCTTCCCAGTTATAATACACCTCAGACATTAAACTGTTCAAGCTGTCCATAGGCACTTTCACTAAGAGTAATTAAGGATTTCCTTTCTCAATACATGTTAGTGTGCCCTACTGTATTAGTAAACCTATCACTCAAGTTTAACTTTAGGCATTTCAAATGTGTGGATCCAATTCACTTTGGATTACATTAGCATATTCCTGGATCAGGAGTTCCTATGTTCAGTCACTCAAGCCCTGGTAATCTCATGCTTGAATTATTGTGATGTGTTCGACATGGGGCTACCCTTGAAAAGTCTAAAGTTAAACTTGAACTGGTGCAGAATGCAGCTGCATAGGCAGTTCTTAGGCAATCTCAGGGTTCCCGTGTTACATTGTTGTTCCATGAACTACTTTGGCTGCCAGTTTGCTTCTATGTCCAATTCAATGCGTTGGTTATCACCTTTAAAGTCCTTCATGACATGGGTCAGGCTAATTGGGAACTAGCTCATCCCTATGGAATTTGCCCACCCCATCCTGTCAGCAGAAAAGGGCATGCTACAATCCCTGTTGGTTAAGGAATTCCAGCTGTCCAAGTCCCGAAGAAGAGCCATTTCAGCCATCGCTCCTGTCTCTGGAATACCTTGTGCTCCCAAGTCAGATCCACTCCTGTCCCATTGACCTTCTGAATATCCTGAAGACATGACTATGACAACATTAACACCAGAGGTATCTGTAATTGGCCAACCAACTGCACTGACCTTAATGGATGAAGCTGTATCTATATGGACCTTAATGGATGAAGCTGCATCTATATGGAGAGAAATATGCAATGAGGTACTCCAAAATTGGAGGTCCTAGGCCCAGTACTCTTTGATGTCTGCATCAATGATTTAGACATGGGGACAGAAGTGGAACTCATCAGATGACATCAAGCTGGCAGGAATAGCCCAAACTCCAGAAAATAGGCTCAAGATACAGAAGGATCTTGACAGACTTGAACACTGAGCCTTACCTAAAAAAATAAAATTCAATAGTGAGAAAAATAAAGTTCTACAATTAGGTCTCTAGACTAGCCAAACTCAAATCATGCAACTGTTCTTCACATGGTTTTGTCTCCAGGCCCTTAATTGTCTTAGTTGCTCTTCTTTACACTTTTTCCAAAATCTCAACATCTTTTTTTGTAATGTGGTGACCAAATCTGAATGCAGTATTACAGGTGTAATTAAGGATTTATAAAGCAATAACTATACGATGCCTCTGTTTATGTAAACAAGGATTGCATTAGCTTTTTCGGCTGTTGCTGAAATTATCAAATTATTACATTCCCTTAAGGGATGTTCGTATGATCTCCAGACTATCTAAAACTCCTTCATAGGAAAGAAAGAGAGAGAAAGAAAGAGATTTTATTTTTCATTCCTTGTTTAAGTAATATAAGTAATCTTTATATTTTAATGTAATCACTATATTCAGTTTTGCATTTAAATTTTTTTTATTCAAGAAATGCATTGCTTTTGTATACAGTATTTATATGTAACCAATGGAATCACATGAGCAGCAGAAATATATTCAATAATACAGGAGATTCTATTTCTATCTTTCAACCTGCATACCTCCAAATCTTCTCTAGACAGGGTTAAGTTATTCCTTGTAGCAAAGTGTGAAGTGTATGGGGGCTGGAAAGAGTGGAGGGCACAAAGGGAGTTTGATATGCAATCTTGGGTGCGTCCAAATATATTTTTCTTGCTGCACTAGCATTAAGAATAAATTAATAATTGATGGCAACAGCCAGAAGCTTCAGACCTTTTGCTAATTCACTGCATCACTAACCATTTGGCCTGCCTGCAATAGAAACATGAAAAAGAACATCAATGTGAGAAGAGAGAAAGTTGATATAGCACAATGAGAAGAGGAAAACAGCTCTTGAGTTTTCTTTGGTAAGCTGAACATGAAATGAATCATTTGTCTTTGGAAGCAAAATTGGCAGGATTTAAATTTGAGAGTTCACGCTGTTATAAGTTAATAGTTTTGTGCCACATCCAGTTTCTCAGCTATAAAATATATCTAATATCCAACTGTACATTAATTATTATAGTGGTGTCAGTTTACAATTATCAAATATTGGGAGGATGATGTGCTATATACTTTATTCTGTGATATTGTTTCAGGACATAGTGGAGCTATAGTAAAATGATCAACTATTAAAAAAGCAATGATAGTAACACAGAATTCTGAATGTTTTCTATTTCTTCCCATAGTAATGTCCACAATTTACTCTGCATGTAATAATGTCTTGAACAGAGCCGGTATTGAGTAGTTTGGAGAAATGGTAAATACCACCTCTGACTGGCCCCGCCCCATCTATTCTCTGCCTGCTGAGTCCCAGATGATTGGCTGGATCTTCTTCTGTTGCCCTGCACAGGAGAATGGAGCTGGAAAGCAGGTTAGTGGGGTGGGAAGGAAATGGGGATTTTGCAGTATCCTTCCCCTGCCACGCCCACAAAGCCACACCATACCCACAAAGCCACACCACAGAACTGGTAGTTAAAAAAAATGAATCTCACCACTGCTTTAAATATACACTAATTGGCATACATTAAAATGAAATTTTGTTGCATACAGTTCTCAAAGAGTCGCCACCACCTGCTGTATATACTGCATAAATATGACAAAAATATAAATAAATAAATAATTATGCATATACCCATATATACTATATGACACAGAGAAACAACACAGTCTAGTTCGGATGTATACAAGTGCATAATTAAGGCTGGAGATTTTAGATCCTTTGCTAGACTGCAATTCAGTTCCAGCTAGATTTAATATATGGAAGTGTT